TAAAATAACAGTAGGGAGGTACAGGGGGGTACCGGTGCAGAGTCAATATGCGGGGGCACCGGCTAGTTGAGGTAGTTGAAGTAATATGTACATGTGGGTAGAGGTAAAGTGACTATGCATAAATAATTAACAGAGTAGCAGCAGCGTAAAAAGATGGGGTGGGGGGGCAGTGCAAATAGTCCGGGTAGCCATGATTAGCTGTTCAGGAGTCTTATGTCTTGGGGGTAGAAGCTGTTGAGAAGTCTTTTGGACCTAGACTTGGCACTCCGGTACCGCTTGCCGTGCGGTAGCAGAGAGAACAGTCTATGACTAGGGTGGCTGGAGTCTTTGACAATTTTGAGGGCCTTCCTCTGACACCGCCTGGTATAGAGGTCCTGGATGGCAGGAAGCTTGGCCCCAGTGATGTACTGGGCCATACACACTACCCTCTGTAGTGCCTTGCGGTCGGAGGCCAAGCAGTTGCCATACCAGGCGGTGATGCAACCAGTCAGGTTGCTCTCGATGGTGCAGCTGTAGAATTTTTTAGGATCTGAGGACCCATGCCAAATCTTTTCAGTCTCCTGAGGGGGAATAGGCTTTGTCGTGCCCTCTTCACGACTGTCTTGGTGTGTTTGGACCATGATAGTTCGTTGGTGATGTGGACACCAAGGAACTTGAAGCTCTCAACCTGTTCAACTACAGCCCCGTCGATGAGAATGGGGGCATGCTCAGTCCTCCTCTAGACATTAGTCCACACATTTGAAATGGTGAGAAACTCTGAAACTCTCAATCTCTACACGAGGTTAAGAAGAAGACAACACACTAGACCTTATCATCTCAGTCTGCAGCTGGCATGTATAGTCGTCTAGAGAACTTTCACTAAAGACACGAGTTGGGAAGGACAATCTCTCTCAGACAACCGTTGGTACATCTGAAGTATCTATTCTAACAGATCAACTCTATGAACTACAGGGTATGCTGAAGTATCCATTCTAACCACCACTACGACCAGAAACTCACCAAGGACATTGGGAACTCTGGTGGGAAAACCAGAGTCCTACATCATCAACTCAACTATCGAGGACAGCTACAAGTAAATACATGTTGCATTTCTAATCCGAATGAGCGGGTGCTAAACATTTGTATTTCCGTGAGCGTAGTCTCCAAAGTATCAACGATAGTTTGAATCTCTGTCTCTCCCTTCCAAGCATTCATGCTACTGTTAGTCCAGTCCACTAGGAACCTGTTTTCATTGTATTACATTAGTAATCAATAACCTGTGTGTGTGGGTGTGTGTGTTTGTATTGTGTTATTATTTAGTTAGTTAGTAAATAAATAATTAAGCCAATTTGTGGATTGCTGATTCATCAGTAAGGTCAGGGTTCTTGCAGGTTCAAGGATTATGCAACGTTCAGAATGAGACTGATAAGAGGTAATTATTTAATAAGTGACTGTTATCGATATATATAACATATATGTATCTAAGAGTTTAATTCGGGAGATAGTAACTCGTTAAACAACTTCTTCTGTGGTGCCCCAAATTCCTAATGAGTTAATTGTTACATGATTAATTCAATTGAGTGACAATGAAAGATAGTTAGTTGATTCGATAAATCACAGTCATACATTAAAGTAAGTCACGTAACGACACAAGGTAGTGGTGGTATACAGAAGATAGCCCTATTAGGTAAAAGACCAAGTCCATATTATGGCAAGAACATCTCAAATAAGCAAAGAGAAACGACAGTCCGTCATTACTTTAAGACATGAAGGTCACTCAATCCGGAACATTTCAAGAACTTTGAACAAGAAAGTTTCTTCAAGTGCAGTCGCAAAAACCATCAAGCGCTATGATGAAACTAGCTCTCATGAGGACCGCCACAGGAAAGGAAGACCCAGTTACCTCTGCTGCAGCGGATAAGTTAATTAGAGTTAAATGCACCTCGGATTGCAGCCCAAATAAATGCTTCACAGAGTTCAAGTAACAGACACATCTCAACATCAACTCTTCAGAGGAGACTGCGTGAATCAGGCCTTCATGATCGAATTGCTGCAAAGAAACCACTACTAAAGGACACCAATAAGAAGAAGAGACTTGCTTGGGCCAAGAAACACGAGCAATGGAAATTAGACTGGTGGAAATCTGTCCTTTGGTCTGATGAGTCCAAATTTGAGATTTTTAGTTCCAACCGCCGTATCTTTGTGAGAATTCAAGGCACACTTAACCAGCATGGCTACCACAGCATTCTGCAGTGATACGCCATCCCATCTGGTTTGCGCTTAGTGGGACTGTCATTTGTTTTTCAACAGGACAATGACCCAACACACCTCCAAGCTGTATAAGTGCTATTTGACCAAGAAGGAGAGTGATGGAGTGCTGCATCAGATGACCTCGCCTCCACAATCACCCAACCTCAACCCAACAAGTGCTCAGCATATGTGGGAACTCCTTCAAGACTGTTAGAAAAGCATTCCAGGGGGAAGCTGGTTGAGAGAATGCCAAGAGTGTGCAAAGCTGTCATCAAGGCAAAGGATGTTACTTTGAAGAATCTAACATTTAAAATATATTTTGATTTGTTTAACACTTTTTTGGTTACTACATGAATCCATATGTGTTATTTCATAGTTTGATGTCTTCACTCTTATTTTACAATGTAGAAAAAAAAAAAAAAAAATAAAAAAAAGAAGCTGTGTCCAAACTTTTGACTGGTACTTTTATTTGGGCTGCAATTTCTGAGGCTGGTAACTTATCCTCTGCAGCAGAGGTAACTCTGGGTCTTCCTTTCCTGTGGCGGTCCTCATGAGAGCCTGTTTCATCATAGCGACTGCACTTGAAGAAACTTTCAGAATTCTTTTTCAGATTGACTGACCTTCATGTCTTAAAGTAATGATGGACTGTCGTTTCTCTTTGCTTAATTGAGCTGTTCTTGCCATAATATGGACTTGGTGTTTTACCAAATAGGGCTATCTTCTGTATACCACCCCTACCTTGTCACAACACAACTAATTGGCTGAAACGCAATAAGAAGGAAAGAAATTCCACATATTAACTTTTAACAAGGCACACCTGTTAATTGAAATGCATTCCAGGTGACTACCTCATGAAGCTGGTTGAGAGAATGCCAAGAGTGTGCAAAGCTGTCATCAAGGCAAAGGGTGGCTATTTGAAGAATCTCAAATATATTTTGATTTGTTTAACAATTTTTTGGTTACTACATGATTCCATATGTGTTATTTCATAGTTTTGACGTCTTCACTATTATTCTACAATGTAGAAAATAGTAAAAATAAAGAAAAACACCTTGATTGAGTAGGTGTGTCCAAACCTGGTACTGTATATCTATATATTTAGCTGAATTTCTGTTGATTTTACCGTCTTTTTGGACCAAAAACAAAAATCCAAGCAAGCAGCTGACCAAATTATGCAAGATTTTACTTCTGGTTTAAAAGAGTTTAACTGTAGGCTAAATGAGTGCTGCCTTGGCTCGAAACTGATGGATAATACATTCAAACTGATGGATAATACATTCTTTATGTGGCTAATATTAAAGAGCATACAGTTGAAGTCCCCTGTAGCTCAGTTGGTAGAGCATGGCGCTTGCAACGCCAGGGTTGTGGGTTCATTTCCCATGGGGGGCCAGTATGAAAATGTATGCACTCACTAACTGTAAGTCGCTCTGGATAAGAGCGTCTGCTAAATAACTAAAATGTAAGTCGGAAGTTGGAGTCATTAAAACTCGTTTTTCAACCACTCCACAAATGTATTGTTAACAAACTATAGTTTTGGCAAATCGGTTAGGACATCTACTTTGTGCATGACACAAGTAATTTTTCCAACAATTGTTTACAGACAGATTATTTCACTTATAATTCACTGTATCACAAATCCAGTGGGTCAGAAGTTTACATACACTAAGTTGACTGTGCCTTTAAACAGCTTGGAAAATTCCAGAAAATGATGTCATGTCTTTAGAAGCTTCTGATAGGCTAATTGACATCATTTGAGTCAATTGGAGGTGTACCTGTGGATGTATTTCAAGGCCAACCTTCAAACTCAGTGCCTCTTTGCTTGACATCATGGGAAAATCAAAAGAAATCAGCAAAGACCTCAGCAAAAAAATTGTAGACCTCCACAAGTCTGGTTCATCCTTGGGAGCAATTTCCAAACGCCTGAACGTACCACGTTCATCTGTACAAACAATAGTATGCAAGTATAAACACCATGGGACCACACAGCTATCATACCGCTCAGGAAGGAGACGCGTTCTGTCTCCTAGAGATGAACGTACTTTGGTGCGAAAAGTGCAAATCAATCCCAGAACAACAGCAAAGGACCTTGTGAAGATGCTGGAGGAAACAGGTACAAAAGTATCTATATCCACAGTAAAACGAGTCCTATATCGACATAACCTGAAAGGCCGCTCCGCAAGAAAGAAGCCACTGCTCCAATACCGCCATAAAAAAGCCAGACTACAGTTTGCAACTGCACATGGGGACAAAGATCGTACTTTTTGGAGAAATGTCCTCTGGTCTGATGAAACAAAAATAGAACTGTTTGGCCATAATGACCATCGTTATGTTTGGAGGAAAAAGGGGTAGGCTTGCAAGCCGAAGAACACCATCCCAACCGTGAAGCACGGGGGTGGCAGCATCATGCTGTGGTGGTGCTTTGCTGCAGGAGGGGCTGGTGCACTTCACCAAATCGATGGCATTATGAGGAAGGAAAGTGATATGGATATATTGAAGCAACATCTCAAGACATCAGTCAGGAAGTTAAAGCTTGGTCGCAAATGGGTCTTCCAAATGGACAATGACTCCAAGCATACTTCCAAAGTTGTGGCAAAATGGCTTAAGGACAACAAAGTCAAGGTATTGGAGTGGCCAGCACAAAGCTCTCTCCTCAATCTTATAGAAAATGTAAACTTCTAACCCACTGGGAATGTGATGAAAGAAATAAAAGCTGAAATAAAAGTTGCCCATTGGTTAACTATTTGACAAAAACATTTCGTTTGTTTGTTTTGCATGTTTTCCAGCTTGGTGCTACAAGTAATGAATTATCAGGTAACATCCTTTCCTTGCTTCTGTGGTGGTTAGATAGAACAGATCAGACATGTTAATGCATTCCATTGACCTAATATTATTATATTGAATGTATTGCCAAATACATTTCATAATAATCCCTATTGGCATATCATTAGACAGCATTGCAAAAGGCAGCCTTATCAGGCCATAGCTCCTCATAAATTTGTCATAGGCAGAAATGTGCCAATGAAGTCAGAGAAAGGTGAAATTATGAATGAGATTATTGGATATGTTTAATCCCAGATGTGTCAAGAGAAGCACAGGAAGCTCCCAACTCTGAGAGTGGGCTTGGAGCGGAGGGTGGTGCTGAGGTGTCTCCTCAGAGCTCTGCTGTGGTGCTGCAGAGGGTTCCTGAGACCATGCCGAGAGAAATGCTGTCGTTGCTGGTGGAGACCATCTCTGGCCTGGAGGAAGACAACTTCTCCCTGGAGGTCATCAGTGAGACAAACAGAGCTGTCGTGACATTCAATAATCCCAAAGGTAGGTCACCATTTCAAATTACCTTTTTTTTAACAACAAAAATAAACAATGAATTTCACTTCTGAAGTATTATAAAACAGATCTCTCCCTCACACGAAGGGATCATAATTTCAAGAACTGTTGTACATTATATTAAGGATATGATTGCTGTCTGTCTTTAGATGTGGAGCGGTTCCTCACTGAGAGCAAGAGCAACAAGAGTTTCCAGAAGCAGGGTTTGATTGGCCGGTTGCTAGAGAGGGGCCAGAGTGTGAGAGTGGAGAACCTGACCTCCAACATACCTCAAGATATGCTGGAGCTCTACTTTGAGAAATGGGCTGGCCCAGCAAAGGACATCACTATGTTTCCTGAGGAGCAGGCAGCCATTGTCACCTTCCACGCACCAGAAGGTAAAACCTGCTGTTTGAATTAACTGTTTTATTAAATAAATGTTAATCAATTTGTTTATTTGGTCATCTGCTACTTTCTATTGTAAGACTAATTAAATGTAGCCTTGCTATTCTGTTGCTGCAGCAGTCTCTTGGCCTCTAACAGAAATATTCAGTTTTCTCCCTTATTTCATGCTATGACAGACAGTCCGTTATCTATGTTGTTTCAGTTGTGGAAACCACTCTAAATAAACGCCTTGTAATTAACAAAGTCCCAGTCAATGTGTATCCATACTACGAGTCCTTGGGCACTGCCTTGTATGGCAAAAAGAGGCCAATGTGGAAGATGCCTGACCCCTTCATAGAGAGTGTGCATTCTGCCATATGGAAATTCCTCTCCATGAAGAGACAGTTGTCCCTCATCACTAACCAGATGAAGGCCCACTTCTGTCATGTAGACATGGATAGTCCTGAGGTAAAACTCAGTCCTCTGCCAACCCTGCTAAGGCAGAAAGGACTAACAAGCCAACATGTAGACGGATGGAAGAAGAATGCCTTGATTGTCTTCCGTGATATCATGGCTCAATATGCAGTGTTTGAGTGTTTTGCAAGTGCCCCAGCGTGGAAGGCAGTGAAGAACGAAGTCCACTCGGTGGTGAAAGAGGATGCTGTCCTGGCTATGGATGCCTCCAAAGGGTCTCTGACAGTTGCAGGTCTGGCCGAAGACACAAAGCGACTCAGGGGGCCGGTGGAAGACCTCATGCAGAGGGCCATGAGTCAGATAGAGAGGCAGAGGGACGGCATCTCGGAGGAGATGGACATGTCCCCTGCCATATTCTACATCCTGCAGCAGGAAGGACTGCGGAAGTGTGTAGCAGACGAAGCCCCAGATATGGGATTTTCCTACAAAGATGACACCAAGAAGCTGGTTCTCTCAGGTCTTGTCCAAGAGGTGTACAAGGTGCAGAACTGGATCCTGGAGAGGAAGCTCAAGATGAATAAGAAGCAGCTGAAGCTGGACCCCCACCTCCTGGACTTCCTGCGGTCAGTGGACAGTATGGAGATGTCCCAGGACCTGTTCACATCCCGGGGCATCAGTGCTGTGTACAGTGTGGAGGGTGGAGAGGTGCTTCTGACTGGCAGCTCAGACAGAGCCTTGGCTGATGCAGCGCAGAGGGTGAAGACTGCCCTGTCCCTGCAGAGCCTTATGGTGGAGGACCAGGAGGTGCTAAGGAAGCCTGAGTGGAAGGATCTGAACAACCAGCTGGTGGATACCTACAACTCCCTAAAGAAAAGAACGGTGGTGATAAAGCTTCACCCAGAGAGCAGAGACAGAATCATTGTGTCTGGCTTCCAGGACCCGGTCAGAGAGGTCAGCAACAGTCTGCAGGACTTTGTTGAAAACTACTCACGAGTCAAAGAGGCTGTCTGTGTCAAGTCCTGTGCCGTGGTTAAATTCATCCAGGAGAACAAATCTAAGGACTGGAAACATTTTGCCAAGGGTGATGAGCTGAATATCCGCTTTGACCCCAGAAGGCCAAACATTTTCCTTTCTGGAGCCCGTCTCTATGTCAAGAAGGCCAATAGGTCCTTTCAGAAGATGGCAGCAGCCTTATGCACTGATGAGCTCACCATCATGAAGCCTGGAGCAAAGAAGTACTTCCAAGAGAAGGGAAGCATGTTTGTTTCCATGGCGATGAAGGAGCACAGCTGTGTGGTGCTGCTGCAGGAAGACTACATGCTGGAGGAAGAAGAGGGAGACGATGAAGATGAGGAGGAAGGGTTTGGACATTCATCCTGCTGTGATGTGAGGACATCCAATGGAATCCTGGTATCCGTCAGTATGGCTGACATCTGCAAGTTCAAAGCGGATGCAGTAGTCAATGCAGCCAATGAAGACCTGCAGCACATTGGAGGCCTGGCTTTAGCACTACTCAAGGCTGCTGGTCCACGGCTGCAGGAGCTCAGTGATCAACATGTCCGTAATAACCGCTGACTGCAGCCAGGAGACGCCATTGTGACAGATGCAGGCAATCTGCCCTGTAAGTATGTGGTCCATGCGGTCGGTCCACGGTTCACAGACTTTGACCGGAGAACAGCCATACAGCGTCTGAAACGAGCTGTGAATGAGAGCCTGAGGGAGGCTGCGAAGGTTAACTGCTCAACTGTTGCCGTCCCGGCCGTCAGCTCTGGGATATTCGGCTTTCCTCTGGACCTGTGCACTGAGACCATTGCAGTGGCAGTGCGTGACTACTGTGAGAACCTGAGGGGTCAGACCTCCCTGACTGAGATTCACCTGGTGGACAACAATGACAACACTGTGAGAGCCCTGGCCAGTGCTGTCCAGAAAACATTCAGTGACCTGCACCCAAAAATGACCATGCCTCCGCAGGGTGCACATAGGGGAAGGGGACAACGGGGAAGTGGATGAAGGGGAAGAGGACAACATAGTTACAGAAATGAAGAACCTGGATATCAGGGACAGTCACCATGGGGACATAGGCAATGGGAACACGGCCGAGGAGGAGGAGGTGGAGGGAGAGGAGAAGGTAGAGGAGGAGGTGGAGGTAGAGGAGGACGTGGAGATAGGGGAGGAGGAGCTAGAGAAAGCGGAACTCAAAGAAATGATCATGAAAACCGAGAGGAGCAGAGGAGAGAGTATGGCCAGGAGAGGAAGTTTGAGAGGGCAGGCAGTGGGGAAATCCTGCAGACCAATCGCACACAAGAGGGTCTGAAGATCATTCTAAGGAAGGGAAATATCCAGGAGAAATGTGTGAGTACACCTACTGTAGTTATCAGAGCACCAGGTAAACCATTGTTATATAATACATGTATGGTAAGAAGTACATGAATATCAGATAACCCAGAGTATAAGATGTATAATTGGTTTACCTTTCATTCTACTCTTCTTTATCTGGAATGACAGCTGTCTTGTAGAAGTCATAATTTATGTTTGAATAGAAATACATAGCTGTTCCCTTCTCGCTTCATGAATGTTTGGTCATTTGTTTTGACACCTCTAGTCTGATGGCATCGTCAACACCATCTCTGAGGATGCGGACCTGAGTAAAGGAGCTGTGTCCAATGCCATTCTAAAGACAGCCGGTCCTGGGCTCCAATCAGCAGCCACAGATGAGGCTCGCACCATCAGATTGGCCTATGGTGACGTTGTGGTCACCAACGGTTACAACCTGCGATGTCAGAGAGTGATCCATACTGTCTGCCCCCATTGGGACCAGGGAGCTGGCTCAGCAGAGAAGGTAAGCTATGAGTTATTGACAGTGCTTAATTTGTAAATCGAGAGGTCCCGGAACATAGTGCAGTATGCCCACATACTTGAGTATAGCTGCGGGGCTTAAATAAGTCCACATTTCTTATAGCTTAATTTTCTATAGCTTAATCAATGTACAACAACATTTTTAGACAACACTGCAGAACACCCGCCATATGCACACATACTCAGCTCTGGGGCTTACAAGAACCCAATTTAATATAATTTTCAAGATATCAATGTAGCAGTAGAACAAATATCACAATATCAGAATATAACTTAAAATAAAATAAATCAATGTAGGCTACAGCAGAACACATATGAGAATATATAGGCCTCCTGCCTATGTGATAATATGAAGCACATATTCAGATTACCTTCACAGTAAAGAACAAGTTTGTAAAGGGACAAAAATGTCCTACCTTAGTATTCAAATCCTCCCACAATGTCTCTCACCATGTCGAGTCCATTTAACTCCTGAGAGTCCATTTCTTGCTCAAAGCCATGAGCGGACCTGTGGCTGTGACGTTTAGTCTCCTAAGGCTGTTCTGAAGACTCTGGCTGTAGTGTCAATGTTTTCATTTTTTTATTAATTTTTTTAATTTTTATTTCACCTTTATTTAACCAGGTAAGCCAGTTGAGAACAAGTTCTCATTTACAACTGCGACCTGGCCAAGATCAAGCAAATCAGTGCAATTACAAACAACAACACAGAGTTACATATGGGGTAAAACAAAACATAAAGTCAAAAATACAACAGAAAAATTGAAAATATATATACAGTGTGTGCAAATGTAGCAAGTTATGGAGGTAAGGCAATAAATAGGCCATAGTGCAAAATAATTACAATTAGTATTAACACTGGAATGATAGATGTGCAAGAGATGATGTGCAAATAGAGATACTGGGGTGCAAATGAGCAAAATAAATAACAATATGGGGATGAGGTAGTTGAGTGGGCTACTGTTGCAGGTGCAGTGATCGGTAAGGTGCTCTGACAACTGATGCTTAAAGCTAGTGAGGGAGATAAGAGTCTCCAGCTTCAGAGATTTTTGCAGTTCGTTCCAGTCATTGGCAGCAGAGAACTGGAAGGAATGGTGGCCAAAGGAGGTGTTGGCTTTGGGATGACCAGTGAGATATACCTGCTGGAGTGCATACTACGGGTGGGTGTTGCTATGGTGACCAATGAGCTAAGATAAGGCAGAGATTTGCCTAGCAGTGATTTATAGATGGCCTGGAGCCAGTTGGTTTGGCGACGAATATGTAGTGAGAACCAGCCAACGAGCGTACAGGTCACAGTGGTGGGTAGTATATGGGGCTTTGGTGACAAAACGGATGGCACTGTGATAGACTACATCCAATTTGCTGAGTAGAGTGTTGGAGGCTATTTTGTAAATGACATCGCCGAAGTCAAGGATCAGTAGGATAGTCAGTTTTACGAGGGCATGTTTGGCAGCATGAGTGAAGGAGGCTTTGTTGCGAAATAGGAAGCCGATTCTAGATTTAACTTTGGATTGGAGATGCTTAATGTGAGTCTGGAAGGAGAGTTTACGGTCTAACCAGAGACCTAGGTATTTGTAGTTGTCCACATACTCTAGGTCAGACCCGTCGAGAGTAGTGATTCTAGTCGGGTGGGCGGGTGCCAGCAGCTTTCGATTGAAGAGCATGCATTTAGTTATACTTGTGTTTAAGGGCAGTTGGAGGCTACGGAAGGAGTGTTGTATGGCATTGAAGCTCGTTTGGAGGTTTGTTAACACAGTGTCCAATGAAGGGCCAGATGTATACAAAATGGTGTCGTCTGCGTAGAGGTGGATCTGAGAATCACCAGCAGCAAGAGCGACATCATTGATATACACAGAGAAAAGAGTCGGCCCAAGAATTGAACCCTGTGGCATCCCCATAGAGACTGCCATAGGTCCAGACAACAGGCCCTCCGATTTGACACATTGAACTCTATCTGAGAATTAGTTGGTGAACCAGGCGAGGCAGTCATTTGAGAAACCAAGGCTATTTAGTCTGCCAATAAGAATGCGGTGGTTGACAGAGTCGAAAGCCTTGGCCAGGTCGATGAAGACGGCTGCACAGTACTGTCTATTATCGCGGTTGGCCATAATATCGTTTAAGACCTTGAGCGTGGCTGAGGTGCACCCATGACCAGCTCGGAAACCGGATTGCATAGCGGAGAAGGTACGGTTTGATTCGAAATGGTCGGTGATCTGTTTGTTAACTTGGCTTTCAAAAACATTTGAAAGGCAGGGCAGGATGGATATAGGTCTGTAACAGTTTGGATCTAGTGTCACCCCCTTTGAAGAGGGGGATGACCGCGGCAGCTTTCGATTCTCTGGAGATCTCAGACATTACGAAAGAGAGGTTGAACAGGCTAGTAATAGGGGTTGCGACAATTTCGGCGGCTAATTTTAGAAAGAAAGGGTCCAGATTGTCTAGCCCAGATGATTTGTAGGGTCCAGATTTTGCAGCTCTTTCAGAACATCAGCTATCTGAATTTGTGTGAAGGAGAAGCGGGGCGGGCATGGGCAAGTTGCAGCGGAGGGTGCAGAGCTGGTGACCGGGGTAGTAGTAGCCAGGTGGAAATCATGGCCAGCCGTAGCAAAATGCTTGTTGAAATTCTCGATTATTGTAGATTTATCGGTGGTGATAGTGTTTCCTAGCCTCAGTGCAGTGGGCAGCTGAGAGGAGGTGCTCTTATTCTCCATGGACTTTACAGTGTCCCAAAACCTTTTGGAGTTAGTGCTACAGGATGCACATTTCTGTTTAAAAAAGCTAGCCTTTGCTTTCCTAACTTCTTGTGTATATTGGTTCCTAACTTCCCTGAAAAGTTGCATATCGCGGGGGCTATTCGATGCTAATGCAGTACGCCACAGAATGTTTTTATGCTGGTCAAGGGCAGTAAAGTCTGAGGAGAACCAGGGGCTATATCCGTTCTTAGTTCTGAATTTTTTTAATGGGGCATGCTTATTTAAGATTGAGAGGAAAGCACTTTTAAAAAACAACCAGGCATCCTCTACTGACAGAATGAGATCGATATCCATCCAGGATACCTGGGCCAGGTCAATTAGGAAGGCCTACTCGCTAAAGTGTTTTAGGGAGCGTTTGACAGTGATGAGGGGTGGTCGTTTGACCGTGGACCCGTTACGGACGCAGGTTGAAGACAGCGGAGGTGTATTTAGAGGGTAAGTTAGTCAGGATAATATCTATAAGGGTGCCCATGTTTACGGATTTAGGGTTGTACCTGGTAGGTTCCTTGATAATTTGTGTGAGATTGAGGGCATCTAGTTTGGATTGTAGGATGGCCGGGGTGTCCTCTTTAGCCTTGTCTACAAGGCTTGCTGCCACCAAATGCGCCTTGGTTCGGGCATGTTCAAAAACCAGATTTCTGAGGGCTCTTTATTGTTGTTGTTTTTTTACGTCTGAGGCATAGGATGTTAATTTACTGTGGATTCCACCCACTCTTTTGCTAGTTTAATCTCTCCAGTCATTTCTAGACCCAAGCTCCCTACCTTTTTGCATGTTGTACAGCCCAACTTTGAATTCTGCATGACAAGCCAGGGGTTATGCGTTTGCTTGGTCTTGAACTGCAAATTGCACCAGCTCCGAGCACTTCGTTGGTGGATGCACTGGCCCCATCCCTCCCAGGTCCCCGTCTCCCTCTCCCGCTGAGTCTGACTCGCTAGTAGGCCTACTAGCTAGTGGAGGTGCCGATGGTGATGCTGAACTGGCGGGATTAGCAACGCTGCTAGCTAAGGCATCATCATCAAGAACAGTTTGCCCCTCACTACTCTGGCACTGACAGTTCTCTGGCTCGTTCTGGTTTCGATTCACCATCTTTCTCCTGATTTTTGTACTTGAAAAATGTCATCAAGCTCGATTGCCTTTTCCCATCCATTTTTTATTTGGCTTTCCCACGATTCAACTTCAGTAGGGAGATGACTAGCCTAGGCTACGTAATGTGATTACGTAGGGACCTCTTCCATAGCTCACCAGCACTACCAAGACCTGTGTCAAGATCAGTTACTTACCCCACCCGCCCTCCCCATAACCTCTATGTACAAAGAAGAGAGCAGGTCTGGAATCAGTGTGGCAGGATAGGATGAAGGATCCTGGCGCTTTTACATGATGGTCTTTCTGTGGGGCGGGAGAAATAACGAGGAGGCAACTTGATTTAACGCTGATCACTTTTATTAGAATGTATATAGTGCGAACATTTAAACAATTAATAAATCATGCCGCGAGAGGTATCGGATCTGGGCAAATAGGTGCCGGAACAAACAAAGTCAAATCTGAGAGGTGCCGGATCCTGTTCCAGCAGGATCCGGCTCAAATTAATCACTGGTTATTGAGAGTGGGAGTGATCAGTGCATCGAAAGGTTTTTAGTAAAAATGTTCTAAAATTGTCCATGTGTTTGTGATTTAAGATGTTGATAACGATCATCAGAGATTGCCTGAGCAAGGCAGAAAAGCATAGGCTGGCATCCCTGTCTTTCCCTGCAATTGGCACTGGGAACATGGGATTCCCTAAGGGCCTGGTGTCCAAGCGTCTTCTGCAGGAGGTCAAAGACTTCAGCCGGAGAAGAAACTCCACACACCTGAAAGAGGTGGCCATCGTGGTCCACCCCAGTGACACCCAAACTGTGGATGTAAGTTTGAAGATGAAAAATGGTTGAAAATCAGATTCAGTGTTTATCATCACACAGATATTGTATTGTTGGGATAATCTCACCTTTGTCTGTGTGTGTTGTGCTCTTAGATATGTTTGTTAAATGCTCCACACTTTTAAATATCTTGTTTACAGTGCTTTGTCAGGGAATTCAAAGGTCAGACACAAGGGAATAATTGGCAGAGTTCACAAGGTGCCAGCCAATCACAACATTCCAAATCCTATGTTGGCCAATCACAATATCCCAAATCCTATGTTGGCCAATCACAGCAGCCCTCTGGTAAGCTTAACTCACAGCCTTCAAAGTCTCCCCAAAAATATTCAACCATTGAGACCCTGCTGCCTCTATAGAGTGTGTCTGTTTCCACAGAAACTTCTTCTCTAAACATGTTATTTTCGTTAGGTGCAGGCTTCTTTGGACAGGTGTCATCACCTTCTCTGGGTGTGTACAGCATGCAGATGGGTCACATGACTTTTGAAGTTTCATCAGGAGACATCACGAAGGAGACAGTTGATGTCATTGTCAACTCCTCCAATAAGGACTTTAACCTCAAATCAGGTGACTTGTACCTCTGACAATAGAATAGGTGTGGTAACCAATGTTTCATGTTTGAGGCTACTAAGACAAATACTAAGGAACAACTTATAAGGATGTTTAACATGTAAATATCTGAAATGTTAGAAATCCAAATGAACAGTGTTTACAGCTACACGATCAGGAAGCAAGCTACAGTAAATACATGTTATTCAATCATTGCACCCACATTGCTCGCGTGCATCAGCGAGCGTCTGCGTGCCCCAGTCGCTAAAATAGAACTTGGTTCTATTTGTGAAGCTCGACGCGCTGCAAGTCCTGCCTCTCCCATCTCCTCATTGGTTTTTAGGAGCGTATACCCACGTGGGTGGTTGAAAGATGAACTGAGGTCCACACTCCAGTCCAGTTGGTGGTGGTAATGCATCTTAAAGTTGGTTGCCAACCGACATATAAAGTCCAAAGAAGAAGATGAAGCCTGAAGGAAGCCTGAACTTGGTTTACCGTTTTATCTGTGGATTTATTGTTGAAGTACAGGACCTTGTACATTTCAGGTAAAATTACAAACCAATGTTTATATCCCAGGACAAATTAGCTAGTAACAGCAAGCTAGCTAGCTAAATTGCCATAAATGTTTAATGCTTTTCGACGTGTCCCCAAGTTAATATAGTTGGTTCAGAGTTCATTTTGATATTTCAACCTGCGTGTCCTGATCGTGTCTGGTGTGGGAGGCAACATGCAGACGAGCGGTCGGTCTGGTCAGCATGTTAGAATATCAGGCCCGGCTGAAAATCATTTTTTTTACATTATGTTTTTAAGGGGAGGGTGGTGGGGGGGCAGTTTAATTAACGAAGAGGCAACTCGAATGAACTTTGATCGCTTTTACGTGCGGTCTGGTCAGCATGGTAGGATAAAGAGCCATATTGTACTAATGTCTTTGTTTCTTCAGGTGTGTCCAAATCCATTTTAGAAGGAGCTGGATTGAAGGTGGAATTGGAGTGCTCAGAGATTGGTGTGTATCCATGTCCTTGAGTCAACATATAAAAGGATACTGGTAGTCATGTTGGCTGTGAATGAGATTCAATGTCAGTACTGTTTGATACTGTCTTGTAAAAGTCTAAAGTCGGAGTCCAGTCCATGGGTCTTACAACACTGATGTGCATTGATTGTACATTTTAGTAACAGATTCTTGACATCTAAACCTTTCCTTTTATGCCTCTCTACAGTCAAATCCCCAAGATTCCAACCATGCAGAATGATAATGACATCAGCAGGATCTCTCCCATGCAGACACATCATGCACATTGTGGGACACAATGACCCTGAGATCATTAAAGAGACTGTGTACAATGTTCTCAAGAAGTGTGAGGAGCAAAAGTTCACCTCAGTGTCCTTCCCAGCTCTTGGAACAGGTACTCTGCTTTAATGGTCTTTATTGGACTACACTGTCCTGGGTAGTTGCATGTTTTTGTTGTACTTGGCTGCAGTGTGCTGGCCTGTTCTGTTGTGTTCTTTGTTCCTACTCTGAGGTTGTGGAGTGGCCATATGTTTTGCTTCCACGTGCTCTGAAAGGGACTACCTGCTACTTTTCTAAGCCTAATTTTCAAATAATCTTGTTCTTTATACGACTTTCTGCTTATTTTTATTTTTCCCCACACATACTATGCCTCGCTCTTTTTCTTGTCTCCTTCCTTCCATATTTTTCTTGTCTCCTTCCCTTTCTTGTGATTAGTCACTCTCAGGGACAGATTTGCATCATGTCATTGTCTGTCCATTTGTCTCCATCTGTGTCTTTCTGTTTGCCTCCATAGCCATGTTATTGTCTGTCTGCCTCCATCTGTCTGTCTGTCAGGCCAGGGTGGAGCGAGTCCCTCTGCTGTTGCGGACGCCATGATTGACGCGGTGGTGGACTTTGTGAAGAAGAGAAAGGGACGGTTTGTGAGAAGTGTGAAGATCCTGATATTCCAGACCGCCATGATGACTGAGTTCCACGAGAGCATGAAGAGGAGAGTGGGAGAGGGAGTGGAGAATAACGGCATTTTAACCAAGATAAAAGGTCAGTGAGAATTGAAGTGTGCGAGGTAGAAGACAATATGAGCTCAATGTGTACTAATACACTATAGTTATTACAATTTCAAGTGACATTTTGTCAAGGAGTTTATGTTATGTGTGCTCTTTCTTCATAGATTCAGTGACAACCTTCTTTATGGGACCCAGTGATGAGCTCTCTACCCATGATAACTTTGTCATGGAGGGAGAGGAGTTTGCCCCGACCGTGTTCCAGTTGTGTGCAGAGAACCCCCAGGCTGTGAGGCTTGCCCGGGAATTGGTTAAAAACCTCATAGTGAAGGAGCAAACTGAGAAAACCATCAAGAACCCGTACATCAGCCAGCTGAGCCAGGAGGACGTGCAGAAGTTGCAGGCCATGCAGAGGGAGCTGACGGTCAGGATACGCCTGGAGAAGAAGGGCCCTGACTCCCTGATCTGCCTGGAGGGCCTGAGCCGCGATGTGCTTACAGCAGACGGCCACATCATGGACATGCTCCTGAACCAGGAGAGGAAAGAGAACCGCAGACAGAAAGCTTTGCTGGTGCACAGCCTGGTGGAGTGGCAGTACCAAGACAGTGGGACAATGGTGCCTTTCGACATGTTCATCAGCTACGACCTGGAGGAGGCTGTGAAAGACAACAGCAAAGTGACAATCAAGATCAACAATGAGGATTATGAGGCAAATGTAGCCCACAAGAGAGCTGTCAACATTACGGACCGAAGAGAAATTGAGTTATTTAGAAAAGACCTGAAAGGTGGGTCAATCCATAATAAATCCTCATCTGTCTAGACTGCATTAAAATGAAATGATGTAGAACGGTGATATTACATTTCAAATAATGTGTTGTTTTTAAGAACACATTTTTTGTGTAATTTTGTGGATGCATACAGTATATCAGGGGTTTCCAACCTTTTCTAGCACGTTGCAAGCTACAATTTTTTACAGCTTTAAAATAGGCACATTCTTCTTATCCTCTAACCTGCAACTCATCCCCGGGTTCTTGGTGTACAAGAGATTTTCTGGTTAATAAGCGGTATTTGGCATGACAGGACACATACAATTATCTTGTATTTTCCATAATTCTGTTTTCTTTTAACTAGTTTTTGATTTTTGTCTGTTTTTTTCTCTCAATATTACAATTATTAATAGGGAAACAACTAAAATTGATGTTCTGAGTGCAGGTCATTGCTTACCTCACATCAGAAGACAATTTTTGAGGTAAAAAATAAGAACAAAAACACATTTTGATTTGAGTTTAATTCACCTTTATTTGAGCATCTAGCAAGAGAGGAACGTGTCGGTCTAGCCGTGTTTCTGTGGTTAGGCCTACTGCTGCTGCACATGTCATGGCACTGAGTATATCATCAATATGCATTTAAAGTTGTGAATGATTTAGTTTTTTTAATGACAATACTTATTGTGTAATGAATTGACCACTAAATGTGGTCCTCTGTAGCTCAGCTGGTAGAGCACGGCGCTTGTAACGCCAAGGTAGTGGGTTCGATCCCCGGGACCACCCATACACAAAAAAAAAATGTATGCACGCATGACTGTAAGTCGCTTTGGATAAAAGCGTCTGCTAAATGGCATATTATTATTATTATTATTATTATTATTATTATTATTATTATTATTATATTATTACTAAATGCCAAACTCTCTACTGTGTTTTGTCCAGACGATACATCAGTGTCTCTGCCTGCACACTGGGATGACATGAAGGGTTCCCTCTTAATGCTGGTCCCACTAACTCCAGGATCCAAGGGATACAATGACGTGGAGCAGGAATTTCGGAAAACTTTGCTCAACAACACCATCCTTAAAGTATGTTTGTAAAAATGTGTACCAGAATTTCATTTGCATTCCACAATAGACTGATTTTCTATGGTGACGTTATATGAAAGCATCACATTTTGCGACTTTGATGTTAGAAATCCCTCAACTATCTTTTTTTAACCCTCCCGTTGTCCTTGTATTCTGTACACATGCCGTCCCCCCCGGGTCTAACTGTCCCGTTTTGACTTAAGGCCCAGTTGGGACAGTATGCGTGCGAACAGCCTCTGCAAATGTATTTGTTACACCTGGAGCAAACCGTGTGTGTTTTAGAGTCCTTCTTTGTTGGGCAGACCTGACACCTCTTCCTCTTACTTGCCCCTGCTGCGGGGGCTGCAGCGGGGGCTGCGTCCAGACCATCGGGTTGATCTTGAGATCTGGCCCTCTGCTGAACAGCTTTGACAACTGTGGCAGACGCTTCCGTGCGAGGGAGATGAGCCCTTCTTTGGATGAGGGGAGTCACAAACGCCTTGCCCAGCTGCTCGAGGAACACCCTCCTCTTGTTGCGCTTACCAGCCTTCCAGCCAGGGTTGGTCTCTCTCCATATCACAAAGGCATTGTAGGAGGAGACGTCGATGATGTTGTGGAAGACGACCAGGGTCCAGCGCCAGGTCATCCTCCGGCAGCTGTACTTTCCAATGACCTTATCCAGGTTGTCCACTCCTCCTTTGTTGCGGTTGTAGTCTAGGATGATGGCCGGCTTCTTGTCGTGACGCCGGCTGATTTGAGCCTCTGTGTGCAGTGTGCTCAGGAGTAAGACGTTCTTGTTTTTCTTTGGGAGGTAGGGCACTAGAGCGGTGGTGGGCGTGAAGGCGAACTTGGAGGATAACACCCGTCTGTCCTTTGACGCGAGCAGTGCCGGAGGGAGCTCGGGCTTGTTCTTTCGAGCCGTGCCGACCACGGTGACGTTCCTCCTCAGGAGCTGCCGTGCCAGTTCGTAAGAGGTGAAGAAATTGTCACACGTGACATTGTGGCCACTACCGAGTCCCTGTGTCAAGTCGAGCACAACCCGCATGCCCTGGTTCTTCTCCGGGGCCCTGCTGGTGTCCTTGCCGGTGTACACTTGCATCTTCCAGGCACAGCTTGATTTGGAGTAGAATGCCACCCACGACTTGATCCCGTATTTCACTGGCTTGCTGGGAATGTACTGCCGGAACGGGCAACGACCTTTTAGTGTGTGTGTGTGTGTGTGTGTGTGTTTCGAGGAGAACATAAACAACAACAAAAGAAAAAATAAATAAATTAGTACATAGCCGTGGTACAAGCATATTTGGTGTGTTGTTTTATTTCATTTTTTGTTTTGTTATTACACATATGCCAAACATGATTACTTTTACAACCCACCTCTGAACGGAACCAGTTGCTCGTCCACAGTCACTTCGGGCCCGGGGTTGTAGAGGTACGGCAGCCGCTCAACCCACGTGTCCCAGACCTCTCTTACGGCTGCCTCGTTCCTCGAGGCGAAAGTCTCTCTTTCGACTTGATCCGTTTCGTGTTGTCGCTCTCCTTCGTCTCCTTCTCCGTCTTAGTCCCCGTCTTCGCCTTGTCCTTCTCCTCTGGCTCCTTCTTCATCCGAGGTTGCCGCGTCGTCGTCTTCTTGTTCTTCTTCTGACACATCCTTGACTTCCTTTTCACAGTCAGAGTAGTCTTCCTGGCAGACGTCGGCCAGGATCTGTTCTAGGACCTGTTTGGCAGTGAAACGAGCACTCATGGCTTTTTTGTTGTTGTTGTAGGGGGCACCTGAGTTTTTGGAGCAGTGGGCTCAGATCACACATGTATGGACATGCTACCGCAACAATATTATATTAAGTAGCTTGTTTTTCTTTTCCCCCCAACAGCCTTACCTGGCCACTGCACTCAGTGGTATAGAACTCTTGCTCGCTTAGATAGGATAGCCATGTCCTGACCCTAGCAAAGACAGCGGGCAGGGTTAGGTAGCCACCGGCGGGGTCAATATGACCCAGGAGGACAGATACGCTCATGTCGCTCTACAACCTCTCGCTAAAACCTCTCTCGCTCTAACACATGTGCTGCTCATCCTGACCCTAGCGAGGATAACGGGAGGTCTAGACCTCTCTGGCTTGCTTAAATAGCAATGTCGCTGTACAACAACCCCTAGCTACAACCTCTCTGTCATTCTAACACATGCGAGGGTCAGGATGACCCGGCCAGGACAACCGGGAGAGTTAAGAAAATCATTTTAATTGTGTTTGCTGCTACATTAAAGGCAGCAAAGCATTTGGGATTTTTTTTAAAGAATGGAACTGTATTTCCTGGAACCAGTGAAATGTGTTATTCTTATTCCTGTGCTGTTCATTCAATATTTAGGTAGGTGGGATTGCACTTCAGTAATAAATATGTAGTCCCCTGTAGCTCAGTTGGTAGAGCATGGCGCTTGCAACGGCAGGGTTGTGGGTTCGTTTCCCACGGGGGGGCCAGTATGAAAATGTATGCACTCACTAACTGTAAGTCGCTCTGGATAAGAGCGTCTGCTAAAATGTAAATGAGTAAATAAATCACTGTCGATTTCTACATGTGTTTTGTTTGCTATTTGAAGATTGAACGAGTCCAGAACGAGGCACTGTGGAAGAGCTACCAGATAAGAAAGAACCTCCTGGAGGACAAGAACAAGCACACAAACAACGAGAAACTGCTCTTCCATGGCACCAGTTCAGATTCCATCACCCAAATCAACAACCATGGCTTCAATCGCAGCTACGCTGGAACACATGGTATGAGAATGGTTTAATGGAAACATGTCTGATGACCAATATTCTTTACTGTTATATTGAGACCTCTTCCTATGGGAGGAGGAGCTTAATGTTCAGACATAAATCAATCTGATCAACTGGGTATCATTGTTGTAAGTACAATATGTTTTTCGTCCAGGTGCTGCAATTGGCAATGGATCATACTTTGCTGTGGACTCCAGGTATTCAGCAGGAGGATATTCTAAAGCTGATGCACAGGGGCTCAAGTGCATGTACCTGGCCAGGGTTCTTGTTGGAGACTTCACTCTGGGACAAACAGGCTTGATCGTTCCTCCTGCCAAACCGTCAGGGAAGGATGCCGATTTGTACGACAGCGTCACAGACAACACCTCCAATCCAACCATGTTTGTGATCTTCAATGATGTGCAGGCTTATCCAGAGTTCCTCATCACATTCCAGTAAATTGGATTTAACTGTACATTCATTAGTACATCAATACATCATAACAAATTCCATATGTCTGTGTGAAGGGTTTTAAAGGTATGTGGGTTAGTTGTTATAGCCATGTTTGAGGTTAGACATCCTTAGAGTAACTACTTTTTATAGACATATCAATTATATTGCTTAGGGCCTGGGCCCAGTTGCGTAAAACATCTTAAGTTAATTTTCTCCTTATATTTTCACTTAAATTTTCCTTAACTTTAAGTCAGTTGCACAAACATTTTAAGGCGAATTTCCCCCTTAAATTAAGTGGAAAAGTTAAGTGTGCTCATGAGGTCCCTTTAAGTGCTTAATTCAGTATGGATATCAATGTAAACAGCATTTGTGGAGGTGAATGTTGCTTTCCTCTGCCCTGGTTTCAAAAGGAAAACCTACACCACCAGCTAGCTAGGTACGTAGCTAAACAATGGAAGCTGCACATTCCATGGCTACAACGCTAGCTGGCTAGCTAGCTACCAACTCTAAGTTAGTTTGACCTGATAGAAAGTAATAAAAAACAAGTTGAGAAAGAAATTACTAAAATAAACATGTTTTATCTTCTGAATCAATTTGTTTCTCCGGTCTTGAATGTAGAAGATACCCTGAAACTCAAAATCCTCTGTAGCGTCCAAACAGTTTGGCCGCCTCTGTGGAAAGGTGAGATTCTCACAAACACGTACATGTCGATGAGACTCTCACGAACACGATGGTGTTCTCCGATTTGCTCTACGACCCCCACACTATTATGACCCCTTTGGAAAGGCGAGACGCTCATTAACATGTTAATGTCAGTTGTTCTGCTCTAGGACACCCACAGGCCTCACAAGACTCGTCTGATGGTCACCCCAGTTGAAAAAATTAATAGAAGTATATGTGGAGACTGTTTAGTGCCAAAAATAAGTGGTTAAATACATGTAAGAAAAATGTGTAACATGTTTACTGACCTTTCTTATATCGCTCAGATATAGGACGGACACTTCAGAACAAACGTCCTTTACATTTGTTGGGGGACTGTTATTCCATTTAGTGAATCTGTTATTCAATGTGTTTGTATGGGCTAATAGCAGTAATGCCCCCCCAAAAAATTCATCAAATCATTTATGTTTTTTGATACTTCAAGGGTCTTAAAATTCCAAATCAAATAGCTAAATGATCCTAAATTATCCTTGGTATGACTTTATTAAAACAATTCCATATAATTTAGCTTAGTGGAACCCTCCTCCCCCGGCATAGATAGGGCTTAGTCTGTAGAGGGTTAACGGAAACACTTAATATGTTTTATGGAACCGGGCCCTGAGCTAACAGCAGTTAAGCACAATTGCACTTAAGTTTCTTTCTGGCCTGGGTGACAGACATTTTCTGTTTCAAGACAAGGCAAGACAACTAACATGGAAATGGCTAGCTCTAAGAAATATATACTGTCTGGGACCCAGGCTATGATGTCACTCTTAAATAAATTAACTAATCATTCTGACTGTGTCTTCTCTGACTATTTTCTGGGTCCATGTTCCTTTTGATTTGATTGTTTCTCCAGATTTTAAATAATGCTATCTGGTATTGTGTAGGTTAATGTACTGTATCATGCCTGACAGTGCCTACACCTTAAATAACAATAAATTGGCAAGTGGCTTTTCAATTCCATTTTCAGATTTCAATTGTGTTTCTTGCTTTATATTATGTATAGTAGATACTTTGTATGAACATGTATGGTATAAACATATGATATCATCAACATTAGTTTTTCTCAATTGTTTACACACAAATACTGGTACTTGAGACACAATGACCACAACATGTAACTCATGCACCAACCCCCTGAACCAATTCTGCTAAACTACAAGCACAATTCCTGCTTTACACTCAAATTGCAGTTCTACAACACACTTTTTTCAAAACGCTACACACAAATCTTTGCATTTGGCACAATTTTCATGCAGAAAATCTCTTGTTTTCACAATGAACACACTGCCATTCAAATATGTACACTGACTCATCACATGGGCAAACACCCGTCACACAGTTTTACAATTAGCAATCAGAGCTTTAGCATAAAAGGGCAACAGGTGAGCTCTTCTGTTTTGGAGCAATGGATGCCAACACTGGAAACAGAGGCAGAGCCAGAGGAGTGAGAGTAAGAGGAGGACGGGGAGGACAAGGACGAGGACGAGGAAGGCCAAGGACCGTAATCTCTGATGAGATCCGAGCCACTTTGGTTGATCATGTGGTCAACCATGGTCTAACAATGAGGGAGGCTGGGCAAAGAGTACAGCCAAATTCGAACAGGTACACTGTAACATCCATCATCCGGACATTCCCGAAATGAGAATAGGTAAGAAATCTACTCTCACTAGAAAATTGCAGTACTGCATATCAATACAGTACTCAATGAGTACAGTATTGCCTGTGGACTGTTCTGTAGGACTGTAAAAATAAAGTATGTTTAAAGTATTTGGGAAATGTATTTCTACTTTGTATTTACAGCATTTTACTATTTGTTTGGCAGAACTGAAAGATTACCAACACAAGGTGGTCGGGAACGTGTTCTGTCTCCTGAACAGGAAACTGAAATCATGAACATGGTCCTAGAAAATAACGCCATAACATTACGGCAAATACAAAGAAAAATAATAGAAAACAATGAGATATTTCAAAATATTGACAGGGTAAGCTTATCAACACTGGACCATGTCTTGCACAGAAATAATCTCAGGATGAAGCAGGTCTACAGGGTTCCATTTGAACGCAATTCAGAAAGAGTCAAAGTATTGCGATATAACTATGTGCAAGTGAGTCCTATACAATCCCACAATTGATGCATACTCTCAACACTGTATAAATTATACATATTTCAGTATTGTAATCATAATGATTGTGCTTCACAATAGTGACCACTCCATGTCTATTTCTGATATTGTCATGTGTGTTTCAGAGAGTCCTTGAGCTAGAGGTGGCTGCAGTGGAGCACCAGTTCATCTTCATTGATGAGGTTGGATTCAACCTCACAAAAAGACGAAAGAGGGGAAGGAATATCATCGGCCAGCGTGCCATTGTTCAAGTCCCTGGCCAGCGCGGAGGGAACATCACAATGTGTGCAGTGATTACCCACCACGGCGTCATCCATCACCATGCTACCCTTGGCCCCTACAACAACGCCCATCTGATCACATTCCTGGACACCCTACACAACACACTCATTCCACCAGATCAGGTAGATGGCCCAGAGCAGCTCAGGTACGTTGTCATTTGGGACAACGTAAGTTTCCACAGGGCTGCTCTGGTTCGTAACTGGTTCACTGCCCACCCACGCTTTTTAGTTGTTTATCTCCCTCCATATTCTCCATTCCTCAATTCTATTGAGGAATTTTTTTCTGCCTGGAGATGGAAAGTGTATGACCGAAATCCACAAACGCGTATACCTCTTCTCCAAGCTATGGAAGATGCATGTGGAGATATAGCAGCTGATGCTTTTCATGGCTGGAATCGCCATGCTAGGTGATATTTCCCCCGCTGCTTGGCCAGGGAAAACATTGCTTGTGATGTGGATGAGGTGCTGTGGCCAGACCGCAACAGAAGAGAGGATGCAGCATATTATTATTATTATTATTATTTTTTTTTTTTTTACTGTAACTGTATACATTATATTATTCTGTTTTGTATGTAGACCACTGTATGTGCAACTTTGTGTTGGTTGGAAATGGGATGTACACTGTGTACATTGTTTTTGTGGGAAAAATGAAATATACTTGTTACCGTGTATTTCTGTGTTCTGAGTATAAAAACAATATTCTCAAATATTTTACAACACACTTATGTATGTACTGTCTGTAGTAATGGCAACACTGAACCAAAAAAAGGCCTAAGTCATTATGATGAATGGAGAAGAAGTGTTTTCCATTCATCATAGTGTTTTACATTGAGCACATCAGTGTTCAACTGGTTCTTATAAATGTCTATTCATATGATGGTTTGTGTGTGTCATTTGAAAACAAAATACCATTTTGATAAGAAATAACATTGTTTTGAATGTAAAGTTTCATTTTGCTGGAGAATTGAGGGGTTTTGCTCATTGTGTGTTTTTTTTTATTTGTGGGTAGAGTTCTGAGAATATGAGGCATGCTTTCAGGAAATGTGTGTAAACAATTGAGAAAAACTGTAATATGCACAAACAGATAAAAAAGTCATACCATTAGTTTTGTGTCACCTTTGTCCTTGTGTGGGTGAGTGTGATGATACATTTGGTCACTAGAGGGCAGGGACTTTACATAAGTCCTTGTAAAGTACGGTGTGCAAGTATCTGTGTAAAAGAGAGTAAACATTTTCATTTATATTATTCACTATTTGATGTACAATTAGGTCACATGACAGAAACAAAGCCGTCTACAAATCCAGTGGACAAAAGCCATCAGGAAATGACTCCACATTCTACTAAACAGCCAACCATAAAGTGTCATGGTGCGAATGTCACATGCTACATTATGGCAGCACGGTTGAGTGTATCTCGGCAACACGTGAATGTAGGGGTGGTTGGGTTGATGTGAGCCAGTACTTGCCAAATAGTAGGTCAGTTATTTCTACTGGGTCTCAGATAGAGTGACAGGAATATGTCACAACACGAAAGGGTTTGGGAACCTATGCCCAGTGGAACTCTAGCCTGGCTGTTGACGCAGGGGCAGGCCCGGTGGCACAACTATTTTCGCTTGCTGATAACACAGGATGGATAATAATCAATAGTACAATTACACCCAATGTGTTTGCAGCCACGCACTGCTGTCTTGCCGCAAGAATACAGGCTACTGCATCGTTTTACAAACATGGACAATTCATTACCGGCTCGAGAAATTGCAAGTTATGACAACTCTACACAGCTACAGTGGGGGGAAAAAGTATTTAGTCAGCCACCAATTGTGCAAGTTCTCCCACTTAAAAAGATGAGAGAGGCCTGTAATTTTCATCATAGGTACACGTCAAACTACGACAGACAAATTGAGAAAAAAAAATCCAGAAAATCACATTGTAGGATTTTTAATGAATTTATTTGCAAATTATGGTGGAAAATAAGTATTTGGTCACCTACAAACAAGCAAGATTTCTGGCTCTCACAGACCTGTAACTTCTTCTTTAAGAGGCTCCTCTGTCCTCCACACATTACCTGTATTAATGGCACCTGTTTGAACTT